CAGACTGTAGACGCTGCTGCCGCGACCCATATATCTCATCGATGAAATGACGGGACGATGGAGGGGCTGTATACGAAGCTGCAGAAACTTAAAGACAAAAAAGAAGTCTGGATAGAGTAAAAAGATTTAAACCCAAATCGAAATACAACTTATTGATTAAATTAATATCAACCTTAACTTGGTAAAGATTTCCATTTTCAGCACTATAATAAGATGTATTCACAAGTTTGCTAATGTTTTAGATAAATTTAGTAAATTACAAGTTATTTGTCACCTAATTCGTAATTCCATCATGCAGTGTAGTTGTGAGGATTACAATCTCAAAGCTAAAGAAACTAAAGTTTTCCCGGAGGAGGGGTCTCGAAACCGTTGGGATTTTTGCTCTGCCAATGCCATGCATCCTCACACATCTCATCTAAACCTGCGGGAGATGGGTAAGTGATTGCGGTTGGACTGTGGAGGGGGTGATGACAAAAGCAATCAAAGAATATATATAGGGGAAATGATAAGCTTACAGCATATGGTTAATGTAATAGTAAATGTCAAGCAATTAAAATTTAATATAACTTTCAAAACGGATCACTAAAACCGATAATTATATCTGTTATAGTATAATTTTATAGCTTTAACAGCTAAACTGTCGTAGTGAAAGTGAAAGTGAAAGTGAAAGTGGAAGTGAAAGTGAAAGTGGAAGTGAAAGTGAAAGTGAAAGCTCATACCTCGTTCGGCGACCCAATTAAGCTCAGTTTTAGCGAGGGCAGGATCAGAGTAACAGGAAGCCACATCACCCGCTCTCCTTCCTACTAACTTGTATGGAACCTGAAAAGGAGTGTTATGATTAGAATAATGAAATTCAAATGGAAAAAGGATTATACGGTACTGATTCCTGAGATTTTTAAAGTTCTTCCCTTAAAATGGCCGGAGACTGTAGTACATGGTAATGAATATAGAATGGATTCAGTCGACAAGTTTATATTGTTGACGATTTTGATGCAGTGTTCAGAAGGGCCTTTGAGGCACAAAATTCCTACTGATAAAATTAGAACCTTATTTATATTTATATTTCGTATTTACCTCTTTTCCAGATGCCTTGGAGAAAGCATTTACAATGTCCAGGACGCTGTATCCATTTCCGGTACCAAGGTTGTAAACCTTCAAACCGCACGATTCTTCCAACTTGTTCAGTGCTTTGACGTGACCTTCTGCTAGATCAACAACCTGGAATAAGTAACCAATTTGATTATGAAATTCGAGCAAATGTTCACCAACAAAGGGATTCGTTACTCAAAAGAAATGAAATAGAAGGAAAAAATAATTCTTTATTTCTGTATTATCATGCCTAGAGCTAATAAAAATTCCAGGTCTAGTAACTCTCATAGTATGAAGATTGAAACGTCTACAAATTCTACAAATTCTACAAATTCTACAAACATGAATGTAGTCCCTGACACCAGTACCATCAGGGGTATCGTAGTCACTACCGAAGACACTGAGGCATTCTCGTCTCCCTATAGCTGTTTGTGAGACGTAAGGCATGAGGTTGTTAGGGATATCTTTAGGGTCCTCTCCGATCATACCTGGGAGAAGTTGTAAACCAGTCAATTAATTATTCAATCAATTAATTAATTAATTAATTTATGTATTATTACAAACAGGAAATTAATAACCCCGTATTTATTGTCAGCTGATTAAGATGTAATATAAAACAGATACAAGTAGTTAAAACAACACGTAACATGCGAACGATCCCTAATAACAGCAGTTAAGAACAGATAAGAACAGATAAGAACCTGATTTGTGAGCTCCCACTGGGTTGAAGTATCTTAATAGCACAATATTCCACTCGGAGTCGCTTTTAGCGAGATCTCTCAGGACACACTCATTAACATGTTTAGTTTGTCCGTATGGGTTGGTTATTCCTACTCCTGTTGGGTGGACCTGAGTTATAAGTAGGTTAGATGAAATCGTCACGAACTGGGGAATTTATTAAGCATTAATTGAATAAGTTATTAAAATTTACAGTTTTCTGTCATTTCATAAAAAACATAAATTTTAATAACTACTCACAATAGTGACTTTAATATATAATATTATTATTTATGTAAAATATATACAAATATTTATCATGCTCCAAGTCTCAAATTAAGCGAACATTTGATTCGACGAAATTATCACAAGCACACAATATATCAGCACAAGAAAAAGAACAAAAAAGCACATAAAGCACATAGAACAAAAAATAAAGAAGTAGTACGTAAAGTGAAAGTGAAAGTGAAAGTGAAAGTGAAAGTGAAAGTGAAGTACCTCATCCAGGGGTAAGTACTGCGGTGCACCGTATACAGTAGCTGAACTGGAGAATATCAAGTTTTTACAGCCGTATTGAGACATTACTTCCACTAGGTTTACTGTGCCGCCCACATTCACCTGTTGGGAGTTATTTATTAGAAAATTTACATTACTGTTACACTATAACTAGTTTAAATTTAATTTGATTATTTTACATTAGTTTTACTTATCCAGTACAATAAGACCAGAATACCGACAAGTGTTTAGATTCAGAATTTTATATCCAGTCCTTTATCGATTAATCTTTATCATAGACGGCAATAGACATTTTACTGGCTCAAAACTCAGAATTTAATCTCAATGAGAGAAGTGAAATGTAATGTACCTTATAGTATTTCAGAGAAACACTGAATGTAATGTACCTTATAGTATTTCAGAGGATCACTGAATGTAATGTACCTTATAGTATTTCAGAGGAACACTGACGGATTCACCGACTGCTTTTAACGCTGCAAAATGTATCACAAACTGAAATCAAGAGTATACTTTAGGGCTACTATTTAAAATCAAGAAAGTGTTATTATTACTGACATTTAAAATGTGACAAGTAAAATAACTTAGGAATTTCAATCGTGCTTGAAGTGATAACAATGACTACTAGTGACGACTAAATGTTTTGATATAAATTAGCACAAACCTGAAAGTCGTGTTTTTTGAAGATTTCTGACAGCGCTGGCGTGTCCAGTATGTCTGCTTCGTAGTATTTTATCTTCTGACCTGGATAATAATTGTTAAATCAAGCTAGTTGAACATTTAGATTTTGGATCTTAAAGAGATGCAAAATTTTGCTCTTCATTTATAAGAAACAGCAAAAGATCGCGAATGAAAGAAAAAATAAAAATAAACTACGGTATTACAGCTCATACCGGTGATTTTCTCGAGTCGTTCAATGCACATGACAGAAGAATTAGAAAACAAGTCAGCAATAACTGGAATATATCCAGCTTCAAGTAACTGTATCACAGTATGGGAACCGATAAACCCCGCTCCTCCCGTCACTAGTACCTCCCTCGACATCCTAATTAGACAATCAATTAGATAATTAATTAGTTATGTAATTAATTAATCACCTGTGATTTCTTCGAGTCTTGTTAAACAAACAGGGCTGCTGTTAGAGAAGTTGTCCACTATAATGGGAGTATAGCCAGCCTGAGTCAGCTGTATAACTGTGTGGGATCCTATGAAACCCGCCCCTCCGGTTACCAGTACTTCTTTAGACATTCTGATTACATGATTAATTAATAAATAATTAATTAATAATTAATTAAGTAATACGTAATAATTAACCTGACTTCTCCTGATATTCTGGTTTTGACAAATGTTGACGGTTAACAAATGGAACTTTAAATGATCAGACGGATCAAATTCACTAGAAAGTTCTAATAAATGGAAAATATAAAGAAGTCAAGCGTTGACAATCACTCTCCAAACAGTAATCACCACTAGTATAGGCAGTGAATACTAGTAATGATACAAGATTCCTATAATAGTCATGATTTATGCACTGCAGTATAAGGTAAGAAATTTAACATATCAAAGAAATGTATCATATCGAGGCAGATCAAACGTGGAAAAATGTAAACCACATCCTACACAGATATTCGACGTGTAAACTATAGTTTAGTGTCAATCTAATTAAACTCTAGTAATGGTGAATGGAGTAATGGGAGACTCATGAAATGCAGACATCAGAGTAGTATTATAACATGTATAAGATTAGTGTTCGTGTACACCTCACATGAGCAACGTGTCCTGTTTCTACTCCTGGATTGCTGGATATACAAATAGAGAAATTTCCTGTCGAGATTAAATTACCAGCCATGTCCGGGCGTTATCACAGTAATTTCCTAAATTCGGCCCGACAGTATTCCTGTATTTATCAACGAACCACATCAGACCGCAGCAGATTAAACACGAACAAACACATTACACAACCACAACAAAACATACACAACCACAACAAACTCAGACCGGCTCTAGGGACGGGCAATAAGGTAATAGTTGAGAATAGCTAGGGTTCCCTCCCTAGGTAGGAGTAGCCTGGTAAGTACTGTTTAAACTAGCTACAGACAGATACTGTAGTTAGGGAGTAGTGAGGAATGTTATATATTTGAAGGTGATCTCACGACCTAGCTTCTTGTAGAGAAGGTAAGTTGGGGAGATATTTGCAAACAATAAAACTAAAAGGAAGATGTGAGGTTGAGGAATAACAATTTAACCTGTTCAATGAAACGTGCAAGTTGCATAAATAAATGAATATAATAAATAAACAAAACATTAAAAACACGAAGCCACTAAATAGGTATTAGAGCTCGCAAGAACAGTGGACTGCAGAACAGTATACGTGTAGTGAATGACGCAGATAGTTTGTGAGGCTATGTAACACGCGGCCTCATAGAATGTGAAACTTGTACTGTGGGGTGCGGTGCACGGGAGGAGTTATTATTTCTTATTGAATTAACTTTAATGGCGACTGAAGTTTAAATTTCTTTTAAAGAGGCTTACTGGATTAAACGTGAATAAATCTGTAAATTAAATTCCACAAATCCAGCGAAACTTTTGGATAATCTTGATTCCAGCTTCGTTTCGAATATCGAACTTTTCATATTTAAATTGTAATTCAGTTGATAAAGACAAGATATGAAACATGGCTTCTGACAACAGATTGTTCAATACTGAATAACATTGCAACAACAGATAAATAATTTAAAACTTGAAAGTACGTCATGAATACGTCATAAATACGTCATAGTACCCGTCACAGTACCATCTGGTGGTACAAAACTCAAATTTCAACAGACAACACTATGATGTAACATCATAAGCCAGTTTGGCTATCTGGATACTGCCGCCAGTTTAACAATGTTAACAGTGAACTGCACTTCTATTGTTCTGAACAGAAATAAACAAAGGTCATTGTTGTTACAACTAAAGAGAATTTAAATAATTAAACAAATAATTAAATTAGAGATGTGAAATTGATCTCATTGTTATGTCTCTTCTTATTGTCACACTGTAACTAACTGAGTAAAGTAGATGCACCGTGTTATTGGTCTTATCAAGGACTTCAACTAATCACCTGGGTGCCAATGACCGGCCTTAACATTAAAACTCATAACTTCCTTGGGGTTTTGGAGCTCAGCTGTCATCTAGGTAGCTGTAAAATAAAAAAGCAAGCAGGCAACGGAAAGCACTCAGATTTGGCTGAATTTACAAATTAGAGAAATAATAATAAGAAACAGAATAATGTCTGGATACCATGGTTGGCCGGTGAGTAGCACTGAATTGAAGGATGCACGTAGGATACATGTAGGATTAAGGATACATGTAGGATACATGTAGGATACTATGTAGGATACATGTAGGATACATGTAGGATACACGTAGGATACACGTAGGATACACTTAGGATACATGTAGGATACATACATGTAGGATACTATGTAGGATACACGTAGGATACACGTAGGATACACGTAGGATACACGTAGGATACATGTTGGATACACTTAGGATACATGTAGGATACTATGTAGGATACACGTAGGATACACGTAGGATACACGTAGGATACACGTAGGATACACTTAGGATACATGTAGGATACTATGTAGGATACATGTAGGATACACGTAGGATACACGTAGGATACACGTAGGATACACGTAGGATACACGTAGGATACATGTAGGATACACTTAGGATACATGTAGGATACTATGTAGGATACACGTAGGATACACGTAGGATACACGTAGGATACACGTAGGATACACGTAGGATACACGTAGGATACACGTAGGATACACGTAGGATACATGTAGGATACATGTAGGATACACGTAGGATACATGTAGGATAAAGTGTTCACCCTCAGTGAGGAATCTGTGATTGTAACTTAGCCTCGTCTATTCCCTTAAGAAGTTTACCGCACTGTCCTTTAATGTCTCTTATACACTCCTCATTTACCTGACCGAGATATATGTTAAGTTTATAACTTATATAATAAGTTATCAATAAAAAATTACACTTATAGTTGTTACAAATTTTTTAAATGATGGAATATTTGCACTTACAACCATGAAGCGTCAGGCTGTCTGAGTAATTATAACGACAAACAAAACAAATGTAAAACATTTTCCTTAGCCATTTAGCTGGAATGACCCTTACTGTAATTTGTAATCTCACCTTATAGCCATCCTTAAAATGTCTACGTTGATAAGCGCTGATCATCTTACCCAGCATACCCGCTATCTGCAAGTTAGCGTGAATATTAGGAATACTTACAACATCTAGTAAGTAGTTATTGGAATGATTACTTAATAGATCAATAAATGGAATATAAGTTATTTGAAATTCAGGAGGGGCCAGATTCCAGAATTATCAACTCACAAGACGGGAGCCTCGTGAGACCCAGACCTCTAAAAGTGAAAATACAGTTTCAGTTGTGAAACACTAACCCTAAGAGCGGACTGAGCGCTACTTTCGCTGCTAAATCCTTCCAGCTCCCCCATCAAGGCTTGTTGTACGAGTATAGCATCATCTGCATTCGGGAAGGATCCTGAGAGATGAACAATATCAACGAGTGCCTCGTTAAGAAAATTGAATCGCCAGAAATGGATGCAAACATAAGAAAAACAAGTTTACACTGCAATTATGCCTCTATCAGTGGAATCTGATAAACCTACCAATAAACTCAGCTTTAATCTCAGCCAGTTCCTCAGGACTAATAGTGGATATTTTAACTATCTCTTCCTCCTCACTCGTCTCTTTTTCCTTATTATCGTCCCCCTTGTACAAGTCCCGCACAACTGTTGCTACCTCTGGGGCGACGTCGTAACGCTTCTCCATTCTATTCAGCATGGTGATATGCTTGAACATTTCCATCTCAAACTTGTGGGGATATGATCTCAGTTCTCCTGTTACTTCAGCTAGAGATCTGTGGTGAGAGTTAATAAATATTACCATGTGACGCGTAGTTGGAGTAATAACTCCGAGTTGGAGTAATAACTACGAGTATGTCTCAATGAGGGAGATTAGGTGTTGGTGTCGGTTCAAAAATTAATCTTCAACAGTTAAACAGAAATATGCAAAACAATGCTAGGGGGCAATATTTTCAAGCAATCCTATTTTATGAAAACTTATTGCTGTATTCTGCAAAATTTGAAAAGTATTTAATAAAGAAGAATCAACTAACTTATCATAGTTCCACAAAGTGTTGAGTTTATGTCCGTCTCCCTCGAGGTGGATCTTTAGCGTGTCCAGCTCCATCTTCTTCTGACAACTCCCACAGTAAACACTAAATTCCTCTATCTTGAGGGTGCCCAGCCCAACTAGCAGGTGGGACAGGGCAAAATCCTGGAAAAATTAAAATACTCTGAGTTTAGAGAATGTGGCGTAATTACATTTACCTCGTGGGTAACTAGAATTAGATTGACCAAACGTATAGTACAGCAGACTACCGAACGTATCAAGCAAATACCGTTTAAATATTCAAATTCATTCAATCAGACATTGATGAATGTCCCAAAACATTTGCCAGACTAACCCAGAAAGGAACTTTAGGAGGCTCCGGCTCAACATGACTCTCAGAAGGAACATTAGTCACGTGTTCATCATCTGAACTGTCATTATCTGGGTTTATCAGTTTCGTGATCTCTTCCGCTTTCTTTTCTACCTCGTCTCGTTCTATGGAATAGTATTGGGAACTGTCCGGAAATCCAGTCCGGTCATGTTCGGTGACCGGATTGACTGGTCAGATCAAGTCCGTCGGGTTATAAAAAGGACGATACTGTAGGTTCCTAATTGGTTTTACACTACTAAAAATTTATTAAACGTATCTAGTGCTTTTTATTCCTGAATAGTAGACATTTTATCGAAATAACTTAATAAAGTTGAGATCATTACCTTTGTTCTGCTCGATTCTTTTCTGCTCCTCCTCTAAAGCTTGTACCTCTTTCTCTAATCTAAGAATGCAACTGGTGGTAATAAAAATGGTAAACCATCGGTGGCTACAGCTATAAATCGGTGGATACAGCCATTAAAACGGGAAAGACTCCATTGCTGTATAAATTGCATGGTCTGCTTCAAACGGATTAACTGCTGACGGAACAGATATTTGTACAGGTGAACTTGATGTATCAGACTTAAGAATAATCGTATGACACGTGTCGTACACGTGACACGTACCTGACTTTCTCTTCTTCCGGAGCAACACTGTCCGTTTCCATGTCCACAGCCTCTGTAGAGTCGACTTTCTCTATCTTTATTAATCCTGGGACTTTTTCAGTATGGATAAAACGGTAAAAACGATAGAGGACAAGGGGACTGTTTTATAATTATGAAGTCAGCTATTCAAGGTAATTAATTACAAAAGTTTATTTAACTGCTGTTGTACCTATTTCAGCTTCCGTTTTGGGAATCTCGGCGCTCTTTTCTGCGGACATGACTAGATGGAAGTATAATTATTATTTAAGTACCAAGAAATACCAAGAAATAACATATATATACATGTATGTGATAAGAAGTATTGCTTTAAATATGGCTGTGAGTAAGAGAGAATGGTAAGAAAGGTTTGAGTGGGATGGAGCCTCAATGTCAGGAGGCCTATTTTCAGTTTAACATGAAGTAAAATTTACAGACTGAGGGATACTTAGTATCATATTAAACATACTAACACAATCATACTAGTACGAGTGTTTCTATGGTTACCAGCAACGATGATCAATGCGTCATGTGCTTCCTTGTGAAGTAGGAGCACAAATTCAAATCAACACATCTGGGTGAAAATTAGAGGACCCGAGGTCCTTATAACGTAACAAACGAAGTGTTAAGACGGTGCTTATCTGGGGAGAAAGTTAGGGCACTTTCGAGAACCCGCCTTTTAAAAGGTCATTGAAATGTGTGAATCATTATTTCACCAGGAGCCTGTTTGCGTTGTGAGCTGTTATTCGTCTGAAGATGTTACTTGAGAGGCTGTTTGTTTTGTTACTTCTAGTGGTGGTGAGTCATCAGAATGGAGGAGGTTGTCTTCCGTTGAGTGTTGATCAGCTGACAAAGAAACTTGGAAACGGTATAGTAGTAGGACTAATAAAGATTTTGTTATCACAGCATCAACTAAAAACTTAATCGCCTCGTAATATTCATTATTTTTTGGCACACAGGATATTAGGATAAGCCGTTCTGTAATAGAGTTGGTAAAACACTGTTCAAATTTCACGACGAATTTCATTCTCCATCTCCTCCAGGATTTATTCCCCAGCACATGAGTATGGATCAGAACTTTGACGGAAATCACCCCCTGCAATACAACCAACATGGAATTTGTAGTTCGAAACTCGTCTTCGATCAGTTTCCCGGTGAGTTTTTATACCGATTTTCTTAAAAATAAAAACCAAAATTTGTCGAAAGGAAGAAGATCGCTCTGACTTAATCGTCACATTTTTAAGATTTTCCTAACACAAAAATCGCTATGACTGCAAAAATCAACATAGCAGAGTTTTAAACGAAAGACTAGTATTCACAGCCCGCCTTAAAATTTAAGGAAATCGCAATTTAGATTAAATTATGCTTTTTTGAATACTTTATATCTAAATGATACATTATTTCAGACAGCTATTTCCCAAGGTTCATACGACACGTCAAGTGTGATTCTGAGGAAGACAAATGTATGACTGGCAAATCTTGCCAAACGGTATGTAGTAGTCTAGACGGGTGGGGGGGGGGGGTTCGCTTAGTACAGACCGTGGTTCAGTTTAAAATAGGGAATTAAGATCCTAAATGAAAGACCTGCATGACACGGAGAGACGTGTATTTAAAATGAAATAACGTCATTTTAAGATATTGCAATACAACTAATTCAAATTTCTTACACGACAGCCATAGTCATACTGTATGTCATCAAAATATTTGGTCGCGCCCCCTTTTGCTGCCGCCAGTCGCCACCACGTCATGTTGGCAGAACGCCGCAGACTTTCTATAATTTACGAAGCGGACAACACTTCACAATAATATCATCATTTAATGGCCTTCAAATCAGTATGAAAAAATACAAAATTGGCCAAGGAATAAGAAAAATTTGGACCCCCAAGTGGTGTCAAAAACGCGAATTAAATAGATAATAATTATTTTAGAATTTAGACGTTTGAGTCTTGACACCACTTTAGCGTTAGACGGGTTCCTGCTAGTAATATCAATTACATAAAAATAACTCCTACAACTAATATTGTTTCTAAAACAATGGCTGAGTTTACCACTTTTTAATATTGTATGTACAGTCCAGGTAAACATCTAGAGATGAGTCCGAACTGAGATGAGCTTTGACGTAAAGTTTTCTGAATCGAGGATCCTTCTGAACGCATTGTAGTCCTTCTAATAAAACCTTGTCATTTATTGCATCGTAGTACCGGTCATATCCTCTTATGGTTACATAATAATCTCTTGATTCGTTGTACAATGTACACCATTAGCCTCGGTCTGAGTGTAAGATCTATGGTGGTTTGAATTTTGACAATCATATCCATTTCGGTAGCGACTAAGTTTCCAATATCTCGGCTCTTCCTCAATTTTCCTGTAACGTGATCAATGTGTTCTAAATCCTTCTCTTCACCACCCGGTAAATCGCCGGTAAGACCCCTGTCCGGGTAAACTTTGACAACGCGACAGTATTTTTTATGATTCCCCCAATCTCGTTTCTGACAAGCAACGCTGCAGTATCTCACCAATTGCAATGTACAAGCATCACATTTGAATAGCTCTGCCCCTGTTTTGCCACAAGATTCACACGCCTCACAAGAACTTTGTCCTTCCCCTGTTTCAGATCCCTTCCGTGACTCACTGGTATTTTTGCAGCACTGTTTGTGCCTCTTCCAGTCATTTTTCTGGCATTGAACATTACAATACCAAGCTGATTTACAGGCGCTACATTTCAGTAAATCTGGTCCTTTCTTACCACAGGAGCCACACACTTTACTAAACAAATCAGTCATCTACTCGCTGCAAATATTAAACTAATTATTATGAAGTAGTTATAGTATGTTATTTTGCGATAGTCTCCAGTTAGCTTTACTACTAGGTAGATGACTGTTACAAACTTACTCACAAAATGAAATAAAAACGTAATCTTAACAAGCAAAAATTAATCTTAACTTTTCTCTGAATCATTCCATGATTCCAGTTCACCACCAGACATTCCCGATTCGTATTCGAAATTTGACTTTCTCATTAAGAAATATTGCTATATAAATGTAAGACCAATAATCTGTGCGAGCAATAAGTTTTCGTGATTAGGTGTCGTTCACACTTCACATAATATTACGTAATCAGCCGTGAAAACGATTTGAATCGTTTCCTTTCCGTTGCCACCCCCACCCCAATAAAGAAAATCATCCCTAAACCCCTGACGACAGAGCACACATCTAGTAAGCCAAGCTACTCCCCCACCAGGTCGATGCATACATTAACATACTGGAGAAGAAAGCTACCATATTCTGCGACGATGATGGGTACGAACAGTGGACGACCGTCAGTTTGAAGATTGGTGCTGGGTGCGAGTGTGCCGTGGAAACGTTCTAGAATAACGGACATTTGAACATTTATACAATTTACAGTTATGCTATTTTGTTATATTAATGATGAGGACCATTGGTTCCAGTCTTAAAACTTTGTTAAAATTATGAAATTTTTATGGAATTTTCTTTTTTCACGAAAGCTTCACAAAAATTTAGTTTTTTTCTGCGAATTAGTTAAACAGTCTAACGGAATTTCGATAATCAGCTCTGTGCACACTCTGTTCCGTAAGGGTAAGTACAGACACGGACGTCGTAAAACTACTTCCTTTCTGACATATCATATAACAAGTCGATGAAACTGTTAAAGGATCGACATTATACAACCATACATTTATGATCAATCGGGAAAGAAGTTATAAGAAATTGAAAATAATTAGAATTACACTTTTGTTTAGGTATGGAGAAATCTTTGATACACGTTGTAACCCCTTTTCGGCCAGAGAAGGCTTGCAACGTGTAGCAAAGAAATCTGTGAGTGGCGACTGGCAAGATCAGAATACATTTCTACTCTTATCTACTGTATCTATCCGTCCAGCCATGCAGCTCCGGATCATGCAGGAACGAGCGCGCGCGCCGCGCGATCACGTGACCGATTGAAAGACGAAAAGTTGAACTTTCTACTGAATTGTGTCATCGCGGATAACAGAACTTGGAGCAAAACAGTAGTCTGCAGAGGATGTTTTCACTCGATTATGTATGTCCGACCGAGCAAGAAATTGTCTCACTTGACACTTATTAGGCAAACTTAATTAGATTGGCAATTTGGCACTGTCAGATTATGATGGGGGCAGGCCGTCACAACGTTGGGGCAAGAAATAGGGCAAGATTACAATTTCGATTGCAATTTTAGCGAATACATCGCCTCGTAGTCTGCTGCAAATTTAATTGCCATGTTACGGCTAGGTTATTGCAGATTGTTCATTGTGGACTGTGCTTTCTGTGGTGCATACTTCTGTAACCTTATCACGTGCCAGCAGTTTTCAATAATATTCGAACAATAATTTTATAACGAAAACGTATAAAGGATTGTAATAAGATGACAGTTTGAATAACTTACTTGTAATCTTCTATTGAAATTCTAGACATTGAATGCTAGGATGATCAAATGTTAGTTAATAACAGAAATCAGACTTATTCAAGTGTTTCACATCAATATCTTTGATTCGGATTATATCTCAAATTACCACGTTACACTAATCTTACAAAATTAACAAACATCTACTTAGGATGTTAAATAAGGAATATAATAATAATAATATATTTAATTAAGTAATCCTCCTTGCGTTCAAGAGTAGCGTGTCTCTTTACTCTTATATAGAAAACGTTTTGTTAGTTGTCATAGAGTGATTACACTCAAATATAATCTAGTTAAGTCGAGAAATTTTGAGGCAGTGATACTCATTATATTTATTCAAACGTTGACAAAGTTACAGTCATGCAGAGTACATAAACACGTGCTTTAATAAAATAATCTTTATCATATTTAATGTTTTTTAATTGTGATTTTAATAGGCGTGCTAGGAATTATGTAATTATTGGAATCATATCGAGCACTAAAGTAAAAAATAGCTACATTACAACGTACTGTATTACGTAGTAAGAGCCTAACATAGCAATTAGCATAACATAAGTAAGATTATCTAAGATGGACTTATTTTACCATTACAAAATGATATGTGATATATAATAAGTGTATAAAACATTGACCAAGGTTCTAATGGGGGGGGGGGGGGGGGGGGGGGCAATGACTACCAATGGAGACTTTTGGGGACTAATTGGGACTAAAAATCATGGGGACTAGAGGTCAACTCGTTGACGTAATTCACCATTTGTCCCCATAAGTCCCCAGAATTTTTGACAGTTATTTATGGTTTTCCAGGAAAACCCCGAGGTCCGATAAAGTCTATCCGGCCACTCACATTGCTAAATGGAACTAGAAAAGTCCTATCCCTCGTAGCCTTGAACAGAATCAATTACCACGTTGATATGTACACTGGACCTTGGCAGGCGGCATACAAGCAGGGTCGCAGTTGTGCTGACCTGGTATGGTCTCAGAGAATGTTGACATCAGTGGTTACCAGGCGCGAGTTTGAGTATAGTAAAATCAACATTGACATGACCGCTGCGTTTAATACTATCCGCAGACAGACCATCATCAACCTCCTCATTGATGCAGGATGCTCTAGAGACGACATTCGCCTAGTTCAGTACCTCCTCTCAAATACAAAGCTCAAGGTGACGGTCAACAGATCTGAGTCTGGTGAATTTGTGATTAATATTGGCGCTTACCAGGGAGACAGTCTGGCAGGTAAAGTGTTTACATTGACCCTTGCCGGTGCCCTGAATCACATCAGAGCCGTGATCAGTGTCACGATTCCTAGACCGAACCCCCCAGTCTCTGATAGAGGCCTCCCGTTAGAGTCCGCCTATGCTGACGATGCTGAACTTCTGAGTGAAGATGGTCAGAGCCTGGTGAAGATACTAGAGATTGCCAGTGATATACTAAAGGATTGGAGTCTCTTTGTTAACGAATCAAAGACGGTGTTTACAAGAGTGTATTTGGCAGATACAGATGCTTTAGATGCCCATGGCAATAAAATTAGAGGAGATGAAGAGTGGCGAGAGTCAGTGCTATTAGGATCAAAGCTCTGTTCAGAAAGAGATATTGTCAACAGACGCAACAAAGCCAATGTTGCCTTCTACACCTACAAGAAAGTCTGGTTGAACAGTTCTGTTCAGATCAGTGAGAGTAGAAAGCTGAAGCTGTACGAAGCTCTTGTCACTTCAGTGTTGTTGTATAACTGTAGCAGCTGGGCTGCTCCTGAAACCGTAATGGCATCTGTCGACGTTCTTCAAAGGAAGCATCTGAGACAGATAATCAACACCTATTGGCCTACGGTTATCAGTAACGAGAACTTATATAAGAGATGTAATGTCAGTCCCCTTACTGAAAGGATCAAGAAAGCACGATGGAAGATGCTTGGGCACGTTCTCAGAAGCGGTGATGACACTCCCGCCTTCTTATCATTCAGATTTGCATGTTTAGGATGTTTTGACTACAAAGGAAGGAGGGGCAGACCTCGTTCAAATTTATTTGATTTATTATTAAAAGACATTATGACAAAACAAATTATTGTGATTGTAAATAAAAGATTTAATTTAAGTAATTTCAACGATTTAGTGTACAAAGCTCATGATAGACGTCTTTGGAGAAGTTATGGGTGAGTCGAGACTACTCGGCCACTCGATTTTATGATTTAATTTCTATTATCTTGTGTTTGCTGTATATAGTTGATTAATAATTTATGGTTTTCAAGTTAGTTTAATAACGATACGATCGAGATGTTTTGTCCAAGATAAGAGTAGGATAAATCTAAATGGGGACTAATGGAGACTTTTGGGGACTAATGGGGACTAAAAAACATCTAAATGGGGACTAATGGAGACTTTTGGGGACTAATGGGGACTAAAAATCATGGGGACTCGGGGTGAAATCGTTGACGCAATTCCCCAAGTCCCCAAAAGTAGTCTAATATAAGCAAAACTATAGCATATCAAACAGACAATTATATAAAAGTTCACCATTCAATTTGATATCAACCGTCGAATAATCAAACAAAAACATTATCATATTAATTAACCCACAATCACAGAACAGTGATAATAACCATTTGATGAATACTAAAAATTGAGAAATCTTGGATGAATTTAACAAAACTTGGTTCGTTTATTCGAATATTTCTTCGTATCTGCTACAGTAACTGCACATAGCAACACACTATATAAGGTGTTTGGAAATTAATCTTAGAAAACCTCGTGACATATTCCAAAACCTCGCGACATATTCCAAAACCTCGTGATATTTTCAAAAACCTTCTGATATTATATTCTTATGACATTATTTACAGAAAATTAAATTTCTAGATACCAAATGTCATGAAATCGGAGCATGAGATAATTTACCAGTGTAAGGTTACAAAATGGTGAATATAAGCTGGGTTATTACAAAATCTGCCCTTTTACAAAGTTTTCTATGTAAATTGTGTCCTAAAATGTAATTCAGAAAAAAGTAGCCTAATAATAAAACGATACAGCAAATTAACAGCCATACCACACATAATAATACACATAACATAACATACACATTACACAATCCACAGTTCTTATCAAACTAAACTCATATCTTTATTTAAATTATCCCAAACTTTGCTTTTTTTCTTAATCCAGCATCTTCTGATAATCATTATTTCTTCTCCTACTCGACTTTCTTTTCTTTCCTTTCTTCTTCAGAGGAAGATGGAGCCTGCATAACAAGTATTATCTTCCAAATAACAGATCATGTAAACATTCAAGCCCCATATTATTGAACTAATTCTTCCGGACGTGTTCCTTCTAAAAATATCGAATATGGTACGTGTTATATCCTAGGACAGACCCCAATTGTCCTAAGAGAAGAGAATTTCTGACTGACTAGAATTTTTCTTACAAAGAAGGTCAATTCCAAGATATTATAGAATGTAATTAAGAAAATAAGTCAGGTGATGAACAGCACATGTTTTATCTGCTTGACCTGCATATAATGAGGAGACTTTGCACTTTGTGCACGACAACTTATAGTTGAATTGATTTATGACTTTAAAGCATAACTGCATAATATTCTACCGGACATGCATAATATTGTACATATTGCAGGTCGACTCGGACTAGATTGGACATTGGGGAACTTTGTATTACATTACCTACTAGGCAGTACCTAGGTATTTACTAAACGGGTACTTTTAAACGTGTGGTATTTTTGTATACATTTGTTTTATTAAAGTAATATACTATTAAAACTATGGCGGTCTTCGGATAATATTGACCTGGCTATCGATTGAGTATTCCAAATTAGAGGAGAAATACTGCACTGCAAATTTGTAACTCGATCACTTAACAATCATAATTATATCACATTTTCTTACAACCTGCTGATCACAAGGAACTAGATAATATCTAGATAATATCTCACTAATATCTAGATATATCTCACTAATATCTCACTAATATCTCACTAATATCTAGATAATATCTCACTAATATCTCACTGA